TAACTCACTTAAGCTTATTAGCCACAAAAACAAAGTTGCTGGAAAAGCTCAGCAGGTCTGGCAGCATCTGTGAAGAAAAAAAAATCAGAGTTAACGTTTTGAGTCTGGTGACCCTTCCTCAAAACTGTTCTGTTGAAGGGTTTCTGTTCAGATTAACAGCCTGTGAGGAGAGGTTAAAGAATAGAGAAACCTACTCAAACTCAGAGCTAACTATTAAACTGAATCCCTGATTCACCACTGAGTCTCCAACTACATTCACTCTGACCCCTGACAGCCCCTACTTCATGACATAATAATTGACCTAATACACTCTTCCCCACTGATATTACACATTGCCAACCCCACCTACTTTGACATGACTCCATCCCAAACGACATCTAACCTGACCTGTCACCTTCCCCCTAGACATGACCCTGTTCAACCTGACAGCTGCTCTCCTTATCCAACACCCTCCATTGACTTGACTCCACAAGACCTGACACCTTCATGTGCAACTGCTGAGGAAGAGTCACTCGACCTGAAACATTAATTCTGATTTCACTCCACAGCTGCAATTTCCAGCAATTTCTGTTTTTGATTTGGATTTACAGCATCCTCAGTTTTTTCAGTTCTTCTTTAATCCAGCTTTGTTCATCTGCCCTTGTAAAGACTCTCACCAATTTTTATAGATGCATAATAGAAAGCATTCTAGGTTGTTGGTACAGCAACTGCTCTGCCCAGGACTGTAAGAAACCGCAGAAAGTTGTGAACACAGCCCAGTCCATCACACAAGCCAACTTTCCATCCATTGACTCTATCTATACTTCCTGCTGCCTTGGAAAGGCAGACAACATAATCAAAACCTCCTCTCACTCCAGTTATAATCTCTTACATTGGGCAGCAGATACAAAAGCTTAAACACACATACCAACAGATTCAAGAAAAGCTTCTTCCCCGGTATTATCAGACTTCTGAAAGGTCCTCTCAAATTTCACTTTTAAATGTTGATCTTGCACTCTATGCACCTTCTTAGCAGCCACAATATTGTATTACTCGCTCTGTTCTATCACCTTATGATCTTTGTATGGTATGAACTGCCTGCACTGCACGCAAAACAAAACCTTTCACTGTACTTAGGTACTTAGTGTGACAATAATAAATCAAATCAAATCAAATCATGTAGCTTGGTATCAAACACATTCAATGTTTTGCCCGTGTGGTGCTTTGAGATGGTTTATTCTGTTAAAGGCACCATATCGATATAAGCTGTTTTTTTTTACAAAATCCAAACCATCCTGTTTAAAAAGAATATAGAAGTACTACAACTCCTAGGCCACCCCCTGCATATTTTCCATGCTCCATGTGTAGCCTAAGATCAACGACAAGTGAGGTGTTTGCAAAAATGAAAACCGGAACTCATTCAGTCTACTGTTTTCTACCATACACAAGTCCTGTCCTACCTAATGATTATTCAATCTTCTCAACAACTGCAGCTTCAAAATAATGTACCCATCAGTCTCATTGTTATGAAATTGATGCAGAAATGGTTGCAACAGATTCCAGACTATTTTTTATACATAGAACTTGAATAATATTGGGAACCTTTGGTCAATAATTGTGTATTGGAATCAGAGAATCCCTACAGCGCAGAAAGAGGCCATTCAGCCCATACCAACCCTCCAAAGAGCATCCACCTAGATCTAGCTCCTGACCGTATGACCCCACATTTACCATGGCTAATCCACCAAGCTTGCACACCTTTGGACTATGTGATGAACCTCGAACAGACACAGGGAGAACATGTAAACTCTACACAGACACCTGAGGCAGGAATTAAATCTGGGTCCGTGGCAGTAGTGCTCACCACTGAACCATTGGACAGTTTGGAGTTTGCAAAAACAACAGCTTTTATTTATAGGGTGCCTTTAACAGTGTAAACTATCCCAAAGCGCTACATGAGCAAATTATCGAAGGCTTTGGTACCGAGCCACACGAGGAGATATTAGGGCAGTAAAACAAAATTGGGTTAAAGATGGGCGGCTTTGAGGAGGGAAGTGAGATTGCAAGGTTTAGTGAGGGAATTCCAGTGTTAAGGGCCTTGGACGTTGAAGGCATGACCAGCTGTGTTGAAGAAATCCAAACTCAGGGAGGTTCGGGAGACTACAAGGAACAAAATGTAAACATCTTGGATCTTGGAAGTTTGTGGGTGTGGAGGAGATTACAGAACTGGGATGATGGGCCATGGAGGGATTTGAAAATAAGAAATTTAAAATTGAGGTGTTTAATGGGAGGCCAGTAAGTTAGAGAGCACCAGGGACTTGGGGAATGGGCCTTGCTCTGACTTGGGACGTGGGCCTATTCTGGATGACCTAAATGGAGGTTGACTGTGGGTACATTGGAATAGTGAAGTCTTTAGTACATTCTGAAAGGAATATTGATTTTAGTGGCACCACTGAATGTAACTACTGAAAATGAGGAGAAACTAAATAGAACTGCACCCTTTCATAAATGACCTCACAGTGGACTCAGAAGTAGAAGGTGAGGCAGTAGTGTAGTGGTACTGTCACTGAACTAGTAATCCAAAACCCCAGGCTAACATTTTGGGACCATGGGTTTGAATCCCAGCATGGCAAATGGTAACATTTGAATTGCGTACAAATCTGGGAGAAAGAAAAGCTGGCCTAATGATGGCTATGTAACCACTGTTGACTGACTGAAGAAACCCTGTCTGGTTTGGTAATGTCCTTTAGGGAGGGAAAGCTTCATTCTTGCGTGGCCTGGCCTGTGTGTGAATACAGGCCCACTAAAATATGACTCTTAACTGTGAGCAATTAGGGATTGCGAAGAAGTGCTGGCCCAGTCAGTAATGGCCACATCCCATGAATAATTTTTTTAAAAGGGCTATTGTAACTTCAATAGACTAAAATCTTTGACACACTGCCATGGTTGTTGTGTGATTACACTCACAAGGAAAACAATAGTTTGATTAAAGCTGTTCCACTTCTCAGATCAAATGAATGTCAACTATTATTTACACCCCAAATTCAACTAACTACAATTAACCTCCAACCAGAGAAATCTGTGAAATGACTTACTCAACCTGATAAAAAATGAAGAGAGATTTCAGGATATGAATTCATTTGGTAATTAATAGCAGTCAACTTTGGCCAGCCACTTTCTGCACATTCCTACTCCACATGTGCAGAAGGGAGGAAATTCATTGTACCTTAAAGAGACTGGATTTTCATCAAACCTTAACTTTTTTTTTGCCTTGTTTTTTATCAAGTGATGATCCAGTTCTTTTATTCTGTGGAGTTTAGTGGTGTTAAATCACTGTCATTGAAAACATCTTTAACATGTTCAGCATTTCATGAGACAGTAAGCTTCTTTAAATCTCCAACCTGCTTTGAGACGTGTCCATTTTGAACTTATACACTTGAATTCTGTATTGTGAAAAGTTAAAAAACACTGTCATGCCCTAGTGTCCTGAAGACTAGTACTGTACTCAGTGTGCCTTTTATTTCAACCTCATCCAAGTTACTTCTTCTCTCATGTCAAGTGAATGACTCTTCAAGTGTGGAATATGACAAGGTGAACATAAATACAAACACAAAATACTGCAAATGCTGGAAATCTGACATGAAAACAGAAAATGTGGGAAATATTTAACATATCTGGCAGCATCAATGGAGGGCATTAAGGTTTCAGGTCTATAATCTTTCATCAGACCCAATGCTGTTCTCACTTAATGTGTTGCACACAAACTCAAATGCATATTGCTCCAAAAAGATGTTGGATGACTTCTTCCTTGTCATCATATGTTATCCCTTTATTCCTCAATCTATGGTCCAAATGCCAATTGGAAGAATTGTAGTTTAAGATGGAAGTATAAATTCAAAAGATGCCAAGACATAATTTTGAAGTAATTTAGTCATGGTGAGATTCTAATGTATGGGGTAGCTGTAGGAAGAAATGTTAAGCTGTCATAAAAGCATGGATCCAGAAGTATTCTGAACTTTTGGCCGATTGGAAATTTGGATAAGCATTTTCGTCTGGACTGTATAATAAGCTAGTAGCAAAGATAAAGAACTGCATTTTGTTTAATTATGGTAGTTAAAAAAAAAACCTCCTGCTTTGTGATCATACATGAGGGACTTAAGTTCAAATATCAGTAATGGACATTGATGAACTAATGGTAAGCTAATAAAGAAATACTAGTGAATGAATCAGGTTGGCTAAGAAGGCCTACTCAAGGGTAAATTGATTGGTCACCTAATCCAGGGCTGGATCAAAAAAGGACATAATAAGAGTCACGTGCTCTTGACACATAACCAACAGAAGTGATAGATTGGAACACAGCAGCAACAAGAAGGCAGTGTACCAAACAACTGGACAGTCCAGAGCTAGTGTTCACAAAAGCATATTGTCACTACTGTCTTGATTACTATTTTGTTGAACCACTTGTGATTCTATTAAACTAACTTACCACTGCTTGTATCAAATACCTTGCACCTACTAATTTACCACTTCTTATATCAAATAGCTTGTATCAACTAACTTACCACAGCTTATATCAAATACCTTGTTCCTGGAGTGGCCGGTGACTAGTTGAAACTAAAGGTCTTAACTTGATTCTCACTTACATACCATGTCTATTGCTGATCTATTACACAGCACAGATTGAAAGTGGGATCTTACTGGTTAGTATGGGTTTTTTCTACACTATTTACCAAACACCACTGATAGGAGGGGGAACTCATCAAAAGCATACCACATGATGAAAGAATATTTGAATCCATTGTGTTAAATAGCCATCAATCATCTCCTCCCCATACATTGTCCACTTCAATCGGGGGCAAAAATAATTTTGTGGTCTGTTTGTGGAAGAACTCCAGGAAAGCAGTCATACTCCCTTTGGCAATCAAGAGAGCTCCAGGAGATAACGGTTACTCAAATTACATCAGTCGACATTCTGCTTCCCTCTTCGTGGCCAACAAGTCCCCGAAAAAACATTCCTGGTATAATTTGTTAAAACACCATTACTTTATTTTAATTAGGAGTACACAGAAACATACATTGAAATTATTCAGGTGAGAAACACTCATTATTTTACAAATGTATATTACGGTTTTAGTGGTACTGTATAACTTAGATTGTAGAGATCATACGTTTCCGTAGTTAGGACATTATATAAATCAGGGAAAAAAATTTTGGTTGTGGATGTTTGAAAGACAAACATATTACTTTTTACACTTGTGTTGAAAGTAAAATCCCTTAAAGGTATTTCATTGTTTTTCCTGTTATTTCAGCACAGTAACCATGCCTTTTATATAAATGAAAGATGCGTTGTGATTATTCTAAACAATCCAGACATAACTTCCCACGAGGAAAAATAATTCAAAATTACATTTAATAATGTATTTCTTTTACGTGTATATCACTTGTTAATTTACTGAGAAAAACTTGTCCTATTCTAGTGAGCAAATGAATCTTTGTGAATGTGGCTTCAATAAGGGCTCCTAGTTTAATGTATGTACATTATTGTTCTATCCTTTAACAAAATCAACATTTGGTTGATTTTTGTTTAAAGTAAGGTACCTGAAATTGCGAACCAATGGCAAGAACCAATTTGTGCTTTTTCAAACAATACCTCCCTTTCAATAAAGGACCACAAATATGGTGCTCCACCTTAACAAAAAAATCTGCACCCACATTTAAACAGTCTGCTTATACATTTGATGGTTAAACACGAAGCTTCTGTACATCAACCTTCTAATATCAACTGGTCGGTATGTTGCCATGACAAATATCCCCAACACAATGAACAAAAACACAAATAATACACTCTGATGTCTGTGTAGGTATAACGATGTATATATAAAGCCCACCCCCAGCCTCCAAGCAACATATGTAAAGCTATGACCCTAAAAGCAATAACAACCTATGTTAATTATTGTCAAAATTATCTTTGGTGTTTAAACTGAGTGAAGCTAAACCCATGTAAGATGAGAACACTTTGCCAGCGAGGCTCATATTACACAGTAACTCAATTGTGAACTAAATTAGTGATATTTTTGTACATTATGAACTGTTACTGTTGATGGCTGATTTGGTTATTTAATGATGTTACTGCGCTCTCTTCTTCCTCTGTTGTGGATTTCTGAAGTTGTGTGGTCTCAATTTCATTTCAACAAATTCAATCGAATGCTCATGACCCTTCCAATGATACCAGTTAACACCCTGTTTGAAAAATGAAATAAAATTAAATGAGTAAGATAGCATATAGTACATTAGAGTAAAAAAATGTCATTTGTATGCAAGCATGTAATACTTGGCAACATAGGAACATAGTATCATGCCTAGAAGGCATGAAAAGAGACTTGCTAATTATTTAAAAAAAAATCATATTCTCTCATTCAATTTTATTCTAAATGGATACTTTGGTGGACTAACAACTTGTCACAGTGTCTGGAAAGTTCAGATCAGCAAAAGCTTACATCATCCTCCTGGAATGTCACAAAATTGTGTTTTATAGATATTCCAGTCAAGCCGACACACAAAGGGGCTACAAATAATGTGTGTCTCTGAGCAAGGGTGGTTTGAAGGGAATCTATTGAAAATATGGCACTCAGGACTCTGCAGTTATTTGCTGCAGTTTTTGACAAAGGGACATCAAATCCATATCATTAGTGAGTGTCTCAAATAGGGGCCCCAGTCATATAACTGAAATGGTTTTTTGCACTGCCTTAAGTCCTTTGAATATAGGAGTTGGGAAGTTATGTTGAGGTTGTACAGGACATTGGTGAAGCCTCTTCTGGAATACTGTGTCCAGTTCTGGTTGCCCAGTTATAGGAAGGATATTGTTAAGCTGGAGAGGGTTCAGAAGAAATTTACCATCATGTTGCCAGGTATGGAAGGATTTGAGTTATAACGAATGGCTCGATAGGCTGGGACTTTTTCACTGAAGTGTAGGAGATTGAGAGGTGATCTTATAGAAGTTTATAAAATACTGAGGGGTATGGACAGAGTTAATGGTAGCTGCCTTTTCCCTAGGATGGGGGATTTCAAGACAAGGGGGCACATTTTTATCGTGAGAGAAGTGACAATTAAAAAAGATATGAGGGGCAAATTATTTTACATAGAGGGTGGTTTGCATGTGGAATGAATGTCCTGAGGAAGTGGTGGATGTGTATATAATTACAACATTTAAAAGACATTTGGATAAGTACATGAATAAGGACAGTTTGGAGAGATATGGGTTGGGAGCAGATAGGTAGAACTAGTTCAGTTTGAGATTATGTTCAGCATGGGCTGGTTGGACGAAAGGTTTTGTTCCTGTGCTGTATGATTCTATGACTCTATGACTGTGTTGATTAATCTGCCTTTAATACCAAAAGAGGAACATAGGAAAGCTCCAGGCTCAGCTAGCGTGTATCTCTGGTTTCATTCTCTTTTACGTGTGGATTTGTGGGGGAAAAAAATCCTGTATTTCACCTGAAAATTGAATTAGTTTCCCAGCCTACAAAAATTACATTACTCTGCTTTTTGCTGCAATCCACTTACATCCAAGTTTCTATGACAAGGAATTTAGCCAGACCTGCCAACTGCAAAGCCTTACTGAACACTGACTTAGAAATCTAATTTTAGTGAGTTAATGCCAATATATACTTTAAAGTAATTTGTTATGATAACTTCTTTTTCTTCTTTTCTCTGCTTTCTTTCTTGCATCTTTATGCGTATATGCATATGATGCAAATTAGAGTCACAGAGTCATAGAGATATATAGTATATAGAGATGTATAGACAGAAATAGACCCTTTGGTCCAATTCATCCATGCCGACTGGAAATCTAAATTATTCTAGTCCCACTTGCCAGCATTTGGCCCAATTCACTCTAAACCCTTCCTATTCATGTACCCATCCAGCTGTCTTTTAAATGTTGTAATTGGTGTAATTGTAAATTATTCGCCAGGCTAAAGTGTGTGAATAAACCATCCTTTTTGCTTTAACCCAGAAAAGAGTTTTATGTTAATCATTTCGAAATTGGTCTTCAGAAAGAGAGGATTTTGCTGGGAGTGTCACACCACCATTTATTTCAAATCGGAAAAGGAAATATAATAAGAAACAAAAGAATTTAAATTTAAAATTTGTTATAGACAGAAGAGGAGAACAGTAAGAAAGTAATTTAATTAATTTTCCCTTCTTGTCCATGAAACCAGGCTTTGGGGTATTGGAGAACAAACAAGGTCTATCTAGCTCATTTTTTACTAGTTTTATCATAATCAGATAGTCACAACGATTTGATAATTATAACAATTGATCTCTGTCTATGATAGACACAAAAAAAAAATCCCTAGCCCTTGTGTTCAAGAACTTTGGAAACCATAGTCCTAAGACACCTTTTTAAAAAATATTCATTCATAGGATGAGGGCAATGCTGGCCAGGCCAGCATTTATTGCCCAAAGAGCAGTTAAGAGTCTGGAGTCACATGTAGGCCAGACCAGGTAGGGACAGCAGATTTCCTTCCCTAAAGAACATTAGTGAACCAGAAGGCTTTTTCTCGTCAATTGGCAATGGATTCGTGATCATCATTAGATTCTTAATTCAGGATCTTCCTTTATATCCAGTTCAAATTCTGCCATCTGTCATAGCAGGGCTCAAAGCCACAGCTCCAGAACATTACTGGGTTTCTGGATTAACAGTCCAGTGATAACACCACCAGGCCATCACCTCCTTGTGTTCCTGCAGGGCATGTTTCTCCAAAGCATGCTAAATTTATCATATGATGTATATCAAATAATGGATATAATGTATCCCAGAATTATGGGTCTCTTTTCATTTGTTAATATGATATTCCTGGTTCCAGTAAAGCTAGCAAATATTGCCTGCCCCTAGAGAAGGTAGTGGTAAGCCATCATCTGCAGCCCATGTGTTATAGTATAGTGCACATAGGCACATGCTGAAGAAACAAGTTAGAATGACAGTTTGGTGGAGAATTGGAGGTGGTGATGTTCTCATGCCTTTGCTTCATAAGCAGTAGATAGCATGGATTTGAAAGCTAATGTTGAAGGAGCCTTAGCAAGTTGCTGCAGTGCATCTTACTATGCATAGCTGCAACAGTGCACCAGTGATGGAGACTTTAATTTTTTTTATTCGCAGGACCTGGACATCACTAGCTATTACTCACTCCAAATTGCCCAGAGGGTAGTTAAAAGTCAATCACATTGTTAGGGTTGTGGAGTTCACACTTAGGCCAAATCCACCAAGGACGGCAATTACCAAAAGTGCATTAGCGAACCAGATGGGCTTTTCCCAACAATCAGCAATGGCTTCATGATCATAATTAGAATTTTTAATTCCAGCTTTTTAATTGAGGCAAAGTTCCACTATTCAACATGACAGGATTTGAACCCAGGTCCTTGGAACATCATGAGAGTCTCTGTGTTCCTAGGCCAGTGATAATGCCACTAGCTATACGTCCCCTTATGTACCAAATGAATGTCTGAAGTGGTGGATGGCGTGTTAATCAATTGGCTGCTTTGCAAATAGTGTATTGCTTCTTTAGTGTTGTTGTACCCACACCCAACGCAAGATGATATCTCCTGATAGAAATCTATTTAAATTATGTTTGCATCCATATGAGGTATTCATTTATTCAGAGCCAGCAAATTTATTATTGTGCATCTCATCAGGATTTACCAGAATGTAATATGCTTAAGAACCTGCAATCAGGGAATCTTTCAATTTTGCCAGTGACATATAATCACACCATTTATGTCTATTTAGGTTTGGGTGTATTTTAAGGAGATTGCAATGATACTTGGTTCTAACTTAACATTGACAAAATAGACATAAATAGGTGTATTGCCAGGCTGAACTGTTAGGTTGTGACAATGGATGAACCTCCAGACTCCTATGTGGCTTACAGTATTCTGGTGGCACATGGTTGGGGAAAACAGAAAGGCTCAGGTTACCCAGGCTTTACATCTACATTGGAAAAGGAACTTTTTAGTCTACAGATACATGAATATTCAGAATTAATTGTACCCTATATTTGGTTAGCTCCATGCTAATTTTCCCATCCTTCAGTTGATTTCAACCAAACCTGGTGAATTGTGACATATGCATTTTTATCTCTAACGTACCTGGCTATGGCTTTGAACTCCATATCTCCCATTCAGATTTACTTTGTGACAGTTCTTGTACCACCAGGCTCCCTTGTAAGACAGAGCACAGTTTGTCACAGCCACATCATTGTCTCTGTCCTTTGTGGAGAATGGACGACCTTGATGGTAAGACAGGGAATCGCCTGAGCAGGAAACAAAAATAGAATTTTAAACATGGGCTAAACATTATATTGCAAAATTGTGATCAACCATAGCACCGCTGTCCAGAGGGGATCACTTATACTTGGCTCAAATGGACAGATATCCAAAAGCAGACAGAGGAGGCTTTCTTGACAATTATTCACATTTATTTTTGATCACAGGTTTTAGATGAAATCTGAACTTTACCTGCTGTTCCGTTGTACCGTCCAAAATGCAGCTTATATCGACTTTTGGCATCAGAGATAACGAACCTGTCATAAACTGCATAAGCAACGTCCCCTTCATCTCGGAGATCTACACGCAGTTGGTAATGATCCTGTGATGTAATCTTGTGAAGGTTTTCAAGGCCTGGAAATCATACAATGCAAACATTTTAGACCAAATAGGGGCCGTTCTAAGTCTCCATTCAACCCAACAAAGTCCAGCAGTGACTAGTGTCAATTAAATTCTATTATTATTAAGAAATGTAATTCTTGACAAATTTAGGCTTTTTTTTAATCTTCCATTGAACAATTTATTACTTACCATTACTATGAAAGGGAGATCCTCATTGTATGACCAGATATAGAATACATATTGTTTAACTAGAAGCTTACTGATAACAAGGCCCAAAATGAATCTTTGTGTATGTAGGGTGAAAATTAAGCACATGGATACCTCACATAACGGAGGAACCATAGACAAATACAGCAAACGTTTATCAGACTGATTACTGGGATGACAGGTTTGTTGTGTGAGGAGAGATTAGCTTGACTGGACCTGCATTCAATGGCATTTAGAAGAATGAGAGGGGATCTCATTGAAAACAAAACTTTGATAGGGTTGAACAGATTCGATGCAGCAATGATGTTCATCTTCAGAACAAGGGGTCATGGTCTCAGGATGAACAGCAGATCCTTTCAGACTGAAATGAGGAAGAATTTCTTCATCCAATGGGTGGTAAACCTTGGGAATTCTCTACCACAGAAGGTTGCAAAGGCAATGGCATTTATTATATTTGAGAAAGAAATGGATAGATTTCTAGAAATGAAAGATGTCAACTGGTATGGGAAGAGAGTGGGAATATGAAATTAAGATGGAGGATCAGCCATGGTCCTGTTGAATGGCACAGAAGGTTTGATTGGCCAAATGTTCCACTCTGGCTCCTATTTCCTATACTTCGATTGAGACCAAATAAGTTGTACTGGTGAAAGTCAAACCACTTTTGATTTTAAACCTCCACCATTGATAATGAAATGGGGACACTGCAATTATCTTGTTCTGTAAAACTCTGATTTCATCCATCTTAGCTGCTTTTTAAAGGTTTGTCTTTATTAAACTTGAATATATTGGCTTGCATCCATCTCCTTTACATTTTAGAAGGTAGAAGATGCACTTTTTGAATGTTGATTATTTGGCAGACTGAGTCAAAAGCATTTGTCTGTTAATTGATTACTTTTCAAAACAAAAATTGATCTAATTTTGTACGGTGGGAGTATGTGTGAGAAACATCCTGCAGAAGGAGTGAAATGTGGGAATGACGGAACATTGCTCCCCTCATCTTTTAGCAGCCAGTTTAAGAATAGCTTTGACACTACCTTTGGCATCTAGATAGCTGGGCCTGACATGCACATGCAAAAACAAAATCATACCTATTTCCAATGCTAGGAACATCAGCGTTGTTTTTAAATTAAAACATAGTTCTCAAAGGTCACTGCAAGCCAGTGGAATGGTTATAAACTTTTAGAATGTGGTTTCATAACAGATTGGGTCATATTACAGCTAGTGAGAAGTCCATGCTCCATACCTCCTAAGTTTTCCTGTCACATTCACAACAATGTGCAGCCAAGCTAGTTTTATGTTGATGTGAAAGATAGATGTAAGCCTGCTAAGTATATGGAAAAAAAAATCCAGGGTGTGAAATACGTGTAAGGAAACAGAAGTTACTCTGCTATTTTGATGTAAAACATCTGTATAAACGATTGTCAAAGAAGCTAATGGGAAAACTGGATTTGATGTAGCAGAGTAAAATATCCAATAATTTATGTACTGTTACACTTACCTAACCAGAACTCATCAGAAGGGTCACCAAATCCAATGGTATAATTCTTCCAGTTTCTGAAGAAATCTACTCTGCCATTCTGGCGCCTCTGGAAAACCTAGAATTTGTTTTTTCGCACGATTAATAAGATTTTTGACTCTTGCCATACATCTCAGAAATATTACCTCTAGAATTGTTACTGTTTGGTTTACTGTAGGATGAACGCTCATGGTGTTTGTCTGACACCTTCTGCACTTTGGTAGGGGTATTAATAAATTTTGAAGAAGGGGGTTAACATCTGTATTAAAATAGCAAATGATGGAACATCAAACAAACGCATTAACCTTTTGCCCACTAACCTGAATGTTCTAGGTTTAGACAATTTAGGATTGTCAACAACATGGCCAACAGATTTTTTTCTGGTGGAATTGAACTCATGGCACAGGGCTTTTCTCACTTCCTGGAATGAACAGCAGGAGATTGAGGCGAGCTTCCCCATGAGAGAGTCAAGCATGACTCCCCACTACGAGTGTAATTTGGTAAGAATGGCCCTTTCATATCTTCAGGTGCTATTTGTTGCTAGGACAATGGTTGATATTCCTCTGAAGTAAACTATCATTCCCCAAATCTCAAATACATCATCTTAAAGATTCTTCCACACAACCTTCAATGTGTGAGGATCCAAGGTAATTGCACTCATTGTTCCAAATGCTCTAAAACATTCTATCCTAAAATGATTTATCCTGCATTATGAATCTTGCTGTTCCTCTAAATTATATTGAAATTGACATTGTTAGTTGTACATTTTCTAAGTTTCTTTTGCAATTAGTAATGTGCATTCTTAGTTATATACATTTTACTAATTATTTATGGAATACCAAGTCGTTACAGTGTAGTAAATAACTTCCTGTATTGCATGTTTGTTACACCTCATGATGGTAACACCTAAAAGTATCATTTATTTGTCTAACTTAGGTGGTAGAGTATTGTCTGAATGCATCTCCAGGTGTCACAAGAACAGAAAGAAAGCGGACGTTATTCTCAAGTGATGGGAAGCAGCAGCCTGTCTGAAATGGTGCCACATGACGTAAAATAAAGTAGCTTGTGTGACAAAAATAGTTTATTTTATGGTGAGTTGCATTCTCTTTTTTGTCAAATCATTTTCCATCTCCTTCCTAGCAGTGCCTAACATGTGCAGATGCTTCCTGTGTCATGTCCTATCAGACCAGCTGACATAATGGGCCATATCTGTGCATACGTTTGGTACTATGAATAATCGCTCCACACTGAAATAATTACTGCAGTCCCATCTTGTCAACTGGAGAAACTGTTCAGTCCTCCCACACTAGGTGGTACTGTGATCATTTTATAACTCTTAAACAGTCTTGTTTAAAAAAACATTTTAAAAAGTCATCATGTGTTTCAAAATAGTAACTTTGCTCCCTTCTGATCCAGTATTTTCATGCCTCAGATTTTTTGCAGGTTTTCCATTTCCTTATTTTTCTTCACAGTCAAGTTACAGCGAATAACAGTGCAATGCTACTGTGGCTGCTGGTTACTGGCAGTACACAGAGAGTCAGACTCCAGTATAGTCTTGTTAATAACATCTATACTCAAATTAAACAGCATTTTCTCAGAAGTACAGTGAACAATACTACAGGGAATCTGCAAGTAAACAAGCAGCCATCAATATATTCATCTATGTCTCTTTTTCTCAATTTGATCTGATTTGATGATGACTTTATTGCAATTTGCAACATTTGACAATGACTACATGTACAAGAGGAAGGATAAATTTCTTCCTGTTGATCATTTAGACAACATAATATGCACAAAGTGGCTTTGTATTCACACAATCATTTGCAGAGAAGCTATCAACAGGAAGGGATTCACCTCCATGGGCTTCCCATAAACAAAAGTGTTATTTTACCATCCAACCACCTCCATCAGTGGTCATGTCACAGTACACTTCCAGTGGTTGAGAACGATTTCCACGCAAGAAGATGGTACTAAGTCCAGAACTAGCTTCACCATTCAGCAACGTTTGGGAGCAATCCTTAGGGAATGGATACAAGGTGCCAACTGCAGAAAAAGGGAAGCTGTACTTAATTCCTCTAGTCCAGAGTGAAAATGTCTAATTTGAAGATGGCCTTCTGTGCCATAAACTCTTCGATGTTTCCCATGAGGAGCATCTTAGAGTCAGAAGTCACATGACATCAGGTTATAGTCTAACAGGTTTATTTAAAATCACAAGCTTTTGGAGCATTGCTCCTTTATCAGATGAAGTCATTTCAATCCAACATTGGCATCTCCACATCGTAGCATTTTAGAACAACAGCTTATAGTTAGTTTGCATGTTTAACATTACTAAATATTCCAAAATGATTCAAGCCAAATTGACATTCTGCAACACCAAGCAGTACTGGAGCAGTTGACTGAAGTTTACTGAAAAGTGAGATGGAGAAGTTTAGGGAGGAGATTCCTAATCAAAGAAGTTTGGCCTCTTCTTGGGCTCCCAATGTTAGGGCAGTTAACATCGAACTAACATCAGGCTCAAGGGGCCAGAAGTAGCAGGGATACTCAAGAATTATGGATCTGGAGAGGGTAATACAGATAGAAAAAGGCAATCCCATGGAACACTTTGTGAACAATGGTGAGAATTTTAAAATGGTGTTGCCTGCCTGGATTTTAATACAACAAATTTTCATAAATATGTCAAATAATAACAATGTTTGAGGAAGTTTCATTAGAAATTTTCACTGCTACCTTTGAGTAAATGTTTTGCTTATACACATAGCTTTCATGGTTTATATTTGATGATCTTATTTACTTGATAAGTATATTCATAATGGCAAAGAATGCACTGTCCCAAACGTCATAGGGTCTGAACGACTTGAGATATTTAAAAGGGAGACAAACATTTACAAGGTATTGGCAGAAGAATCAAAATTGGGAGTAAAGAGATTGAGCTGCTCGATCTACATCTTTACGTTTCTGAGAAAATTTGGAACTAACAGTACACGGAATAAATTTTGCAAATACCTGTTATGAAGCTAGTCTCTATTACATTGCTTGTCTCTGACCCTGTGTAGGCCTGGAGTCTCAGCACGTACTTCATTGATGGAACCAGTTCACTCATGCTGTATGAGGTATCTGTAGCTCCGAAATATTCAATGCTCTGTTACACAATTTAAAATAAATAGCCACATTGAAGAAAGGTTTAGTCTGTTTACTTCGACATATTGTGTTTTACAGACCAATACTCATTTGTTCAAAAAGGCAACAAAAGACTTGCAGAGATTTACATGGGTTATTGTAAATGCACAGTTTAGCACAAACCCCAGTTTCTACCTTTCCCCTCTGGCCACTTTCCCTACCTAGAACTCAAACGTCACTGGAAAAGAACCCAACTCCGTTTTTAATTATTTTAAAAACCCACCATCAGTTAATCAAGTAACAATTCACTACAAACACTGCTCACCAGGGGGCCATATAACAAGAATCCAAAAACTAAAAGGAATGGGATTCTGATGAAGAGTCACTGGACCCGAAACGTTAACTCTGCTTTCTCTCCACTGATGCTGCCAGACCTGCTGAGTCACTTTTGGTATTTTCCATCTATTAACCACTAGCAATAAATTATACATGTTTTCCAAAGCCACAGGTGGCTCAGCAGGTGACTCCAACTTGCTTATACCCCTCTGCGTTGGGTGTCCAAAGATCAGGAGCACAGGGCTGAAATGTGACCAGAACTACATCAATAGAATGCTCATTTGGTAAGAAGGGGATGCAACCACACAAACCCAGCTCTTGTGTTTTATATCCAGAAGTGTACTTATACAAAACTCGAAATGTCTTTCCCCTATCACCAAATCACCAGTGGGTTTTATTTGCACTTATTAACCACCACCAGTAAATCACCCATGTTTCCAATTGAATAATTTACCTGCAAAGCCCATTAAAGACAATGCAGATCTCAAGGTGAGGCAGAGGTCGGGAAACTGAGAAGGAGCTAAATCAAAATGGAGTCAGAAGGGACCAAACCCAGCTCTTTTTTTCAAAATTTCATCTATTTTTCCCAAGCAACCTGTTCAGAGATGCTATTACACAACTCTAGAGCAGGTGGAAAGTGAACCTGGATCTCCCAGTCCAGGGATAGGGTCACTACCACTGCACTGCAAGAAGACCCTCCAAACCCAGCTCTTAACAAACCCCAATGAATATCACCTGCTGTCAGTCAACTCTGGAGCTGTTCTTGTTGGCCCTTAAAGGAATTTACATTTCTAATACTGACATACATCTGAGACAAAACAACAATCAGCCAAAGGCACTAATCTGATGTCGATCACAAGAAAGCTACTTGACTGCCCAAATAACTCAGGAACACCTCACAGCCTTAAAATTCCTCAGAAAATCATCTCCATGTTTACAGAGATCACATCTGCCAGTAACTTCTACTTCTCACCTTGCTGGCGACTGTGGGATCAGTGGAATGCCAGTATAGACAGAAAGTAAGACAAAGACATCGTTGAAAATTTAGGACGATTTTGGTCTGAACTGACAGGATTAAGAAATGACTGGACTTTACTGTTTAGAAAAGATCCAAAGAACAGAACAAAGTAAATCAAAGCAACACTTGAGTGAACGAGAACCAAGGTGCAATAGACACTAGTTAAATTGTCAGAAATTTAGGATAGTGTGAAGGAGATTTTTTTTTGTGACCTATACAATGGATTAGTATAATTGCAGATGGTAGCAAAGGCACATTCAAAATTTAAAAAGTGATGGGAAGGAAAAGGGAATAAAGAGATATATCTGCAACAGCTTCGTGGGATTAGGAGTACAGCTCATTTAAAGGATAACATGAACTGGTGAGGTAGATTGGCCTGCTTCTTGTTCTGATAGCTGTAATAGTGCGAGGTATGAGCTGCTAAGCATCCAACCCTCAAGTCCAAAAATCTACCCGATGATTTATCACCTTTCTACACTTTTTCGTATTGAGTATTTTGTTTCACTCTTGAATGTGAACAACGGTGGGTTGAACGTTTTATCTTCTCCAATTTCAGTGAGAAAAGTCAATGTGAGCACGTGTGCGATGGGGGAAAGGAACATCCAAAATTCAACAGCTGAGAGAATCGACCCTCTGTGGGACTTACCTGTGGTCTCCCATCTTCAGATTCCACAGTCATAATGTACCCTTCGATCTTAGCTTGTGGAGGTTTCCAAGAAACAAGGGCATCGGTTGCTGTAATTTCTCCAACTCTCAGGTCTCTGGGTGGATCAATGGCTTTGAGGGAATAAAAATATACAACTATTAAATAATGAAAACTGATTGCATTCAGATCCATGCCTTTTGGGTACATGAATAGGAAAGGTTTAGAGGAATATGGGCCATATGCTGAAGAATGGGACTAGATTAATTTAGGATATTCTGTTGGAATGGACAAGTTGGACCAAACGGTCTGTTTCTGTGCTGTACATCTCTATGATAATGGATCATTTATAGGATGCTTTGTCAGTGGCTGGTCCAGCATTTTATTGCCTAGCTCCAGTTTCCCTTGAGAAGGTGAGCTGCCTTCTTGAACTGCTGCAGTCCATGTGCAGTAGAAAGACCCCCAATACCATTACAGAGGAATCTTGAACCAGCAACAGTGAAGGAACAGTACTAGATTTCCAAGTCAGGATGGTGACTGGATTGGAGAGGAATTTGCAGGTGGTAGTGTTTCCATGTATCTACTGCCTTTGTACTTCGAGATGGAAGTGGTCATGGGTTTGGAAAGTGCTGTCTGATGATCTTTGGTAAATTTTTGCAGCGCATCTTGTGGATTCAACTGCTGCTACTGAGTGTCAGTGGTGGAGGGAGTGAATATTTGTGGATATGGTGCCAACCAAGATGCTGCTTTGTCCTGGATGGTGTCAAATGTCTTGAGTGTTATTTGAAGTACACTCATCCAAGCAAGTAGAGAGTATTCCAACTACCGACTACCTGGATAAGACCCACGCAGACACAGAGAGAATGTGCAACCTCCACACAGTCGCCCAAGGGTTGAACAGTGGCTGCTGTTTGATACAACACCTACCCGAAGCCTACAGTCGACACAGGATCCCGGGCCAGAGGTGATGACTGGCAGGATCTAGGGGAGTCATGGGATGGGAGAATGGAAGAGCTTTTGCAGTAAGAGGAGGCAGTTGGCTCTCAGAGGAGTCCTATCACCCCAATCACCAGATGCTGCGTCCCTCAGTCAGGTCCTAAGTGCCTTTGAACCGGGGAAAACTTGCCCCCGCACTGCCTCTTTTCCAACCAATTAACTACCCCAGCACTCCACAAGCAAATATACCAAAGACATTTTTTGTTGTGATTCCCTCATAGCAAGCCTCCTCCCTCCACTTTGTGGTGGGATGAGACCCTAATGTGGTCATTAATAGATGACAATTTGTAGTGGGACCACTACAATTTGTAGAAAGTTGAAACCAACTTTCTTGACGAAATTGCTGTTGAATCCATTTCTTTCACATCTTCAGAAATATTTATGTATTTGCTATCTTGTAGTTATCTCAGTAAATTGTCAATCCCAGTTTCATCCGTTGGTATTCCACAATGATCTGATAATTTTATAGCAAACATATTGGTGTTAATGGGATGTTATCTGTTACAAGGAGTAGATGGTGAAGCCAATCTCCACAAATTATAAGCACTGTTGTTTACTTGTAATTGAGAAAGGACTGCTTGAAATCGCTGGCATGTTTAAAGTGCTCTAAGTGGCATCATTGTGATTGACTTTAGAGATACTGTCAAAAGCTAGCACCAATTGCCTGACAAGCATGGACAGTGTAAATGAATGGAACAGAAAAATGAAAGCGTGAACCATGATTTTTTTTTGTAATAACCCTACTGGTTCACCAATGTCCTCCACAGAATATAATCTGCTGCCACTTACCTGGTCTGGCCTACCTGTGACCAATCACCTTCTACTTGGCTCTCAAAGTTCTCAGTAAAACTAAGGGTGGTTACTAAAGGGTGGGCACAGTCTTAACTCTGCTTCATGCATCTCAAGCTAAAAATGAAAGAAAAACACTGAACTGACTTGTGGAGGCTAGTAACTTTTCTTTCCTTTCACTTTGTTTATTTCTCTATCCACAAAACGAAAAAGAATTAAGTGTGCAGTTAAGATTTGCAGCAAACAGTGTTACACCAATGTATGCAGCCTGTGAAAATCTTTGTCCGGCTGAGGGCGGAGTAAAACTCACCAGTTGTAAAAGTAATAGATGCGGCAGAACTTTCCAGAATGCCTTTCACAGCCCTGATCCTCACAGTGTACAAGGTGCCAGGTAAAAGTGAGGAGAGGGCAGTCTGCACCTGGTCCCCTGAAACCCGTTTTGTCAGTTCAGGAGCTGAAGTTGAAAAAGAAGGATCAGTATCTTATTTTAGGTTTATTCATCCAATTGATTTGTAGCTATGCATTTACATTTCAAAATGATAAAGTCAAACGATCTTCTGCTTATGTGAATGAGAAATTAAACTAAATCCTTGTGTCAGTTTGCTTTGTACAGTTTCAGCGAAACCTTCCTACTTTAAATTCCATTTGCCTTCATATTACCCGTTGAAATTAAATGCTAGCATTTTGTGGATTAGAACTTCCAAGTCACTCTATGTTGTAGCTTTCTGCAGTCTTTCTCTACTTAAATAATATTCAGCTCCTCTATTTTTCCTGCCAATGTGCATAGCCTCTCATTTTCCTCAATTTAAATTCCATCTGCAAAGCTTTTACCCACACACTTAACCTGTTTATATCCCTCTGCAGACTATTTGTGTTATCCTCACCACTTGCCTTCCCACTGATTTTAATGTTCTCTGCAAAGTTGACTATAATACATTCACTTTGCTCATCCAAGTCATTAACAAAAATTGTAAAAACTGTGGCCCCAGCACTGATCTCTGTGGCAATTGTTACAGATATCCATCCTGAAAATGACCTCTTATCCAAATTCTCTGTCTTTTCTTAGCTGGCTAATCCTCTAGCAATGCTAATATTATACCTTCGACTATTAAGTAGTCTAATAAGATCATGTAATATTTGAGTACATAATCTGGAGTTACTCTTCAGTGGAATATTGAGGGAGAGCGGCATTGTTGGAACTGCAGTCTTACAGCTGAGAAGTCATTGATGTAGGAAGTTCTAAGGCACTACTTGAGGAACAGCAGAATTCTCCCAGTGTCCTGGTACCATGCCTCCCTCCAGAGAGATTACTAGATGACTTGTTCTTTGTGAAAATTAGCAGTCGTGCTAACCTTACATATTAACCATGGCATCACTTCAAAAACAAATTTATTATTTCTAAAGTGCTTGGCAAATGCAAAATATTCATTCAGCTACACTAATTAGTGAAGACATACAAAAGTTCAACTTTCTGTAATATAAAAATAGTTATGGATTTATCTTAAGATGGATGGAGTTATAAAATTTAATGTCAACACCAGTATCTCAGATATTCTTTTGTTATCTTGTTATTTTGTTTGGAGGGACCTCTCCCTTGTCTCACCTCCCTTTTATACATTCTCTTGTGCTCTCATTTCTCTCACCTCGCTGCATATTTTCTATATAATGAGCTTTCTTTCATGAAACAATTTGCAGAACTCACTCTCCATGATTCTCTCTTATTCTCTTTTTTCCTTTGTTTCAGTATTATTGAGTTACTTCTGAACTTCAATCTTTCTTACAAAGAAAAGGAACACTTTCTTACAAAGCTGCAACCTATCATTTCTCCTCTCAGAGGCTGATTGACCTGTTGAGCATTTCCAGTACTGTTTTTGCATGAAAACGTAAGTCTGATTCCATCTCCACACCCAATTTTTTATGTAAATGCATATAATATTTATATTTTTAAATGCACAATTATGCTAAAGCAAATGTATTTTACTAAACTGTCCACATATTAATTAATTGACCAGAAACATAAATAGGTTGAGAACCTGAATGGGGCTATGCGTACCAACATTGTCACTGTCTTCCTGAGATCTGCTTCAGTCAGCATTTCCGTTGAAGTCAGAAATGTTATAGAGGAAGGTATTCATGACACTGTCATACGGTGCACAGTCTATTTTATGAGCCATTGTAAATTAAGAGGGAGAGGTCTGTCTTTCTTTCACAACTGATCATCCATTTTTAGGCTGTGTATCAGTAGCATTGATTTGTAAAATCAACATTGGATATTTTTATGAAAAATCATTAACCAATTTTCTACCTTGTTCTTGTATATCTTTCCAACACATAAATAATGCTTAATTTTAAACAGATTCATTTTTATGATTGAGTGATTGTCCTTACCACCCTCAGCATGACAGCTGAGCACATATTCATCTACTGCAGAAATTGTGGGTTTCCATGTCAGTACGGCTTCAGAATCCGTGACCTTCACAACTCTCAATTCTGATGGACTGTCCAATGCTGTCAATCAAGGAGGAAAAAGATAAACACAAGACATTACTTTCATAGATAGTAGGAACTGCAGATGCTGGAGAATCCGAGACAACAAGGTGCAGGGCTGGATGAACACAGCAGGCCAAGCAGCATCATAGGAGCAGAGAGGCTGACGTTTCGGGCCTAGACCCTTCATCAGAAAAGGGGGAGGGGAAGGGGATTTTGAAATAAATAGGGAGAGAGTGGGAGGCGGATAGAAGAGGGATAGAGGAGAGGATAGGTGGAGAGGAGTTGCAGTGGGAGAGAGATCCCTTGAGGTTTGTCCGGAGGGAGGAGGGTAACTTCTTCAGGTTAGGCATCCTTAGAAGAGGCTTCGCAGTGGGGTTAAAATTGAATCAGAGATAGTAGGAACTGCAGATGCTGGAGAATCCGAGACAACAAGGTGC